AGAAGAAACAGCCCGAGCCCTCAGGGACTAGATGGGTAAATGGGGTCTTGGAGCCCTTTGCAAATCTTCGGGCTCCGCCCCTGCCCGGGAGCCTTGACCCTAAACTGAACCCACTCCTTCCCGACTGCCTGCTCCGCCTCTACTCCCCTCCCCCGTCCTTATTCCCTTAGACCTCAGCCCTGCTGTTAGGAAAGATAGCACGCCCCCCAAGTTCCTCCTCCTCCAAGCCTCGTCTTCCATCCGTGCCCTTCACCTGCCCTCGACCTCCACCTCCTTACTAATGTCCTTTTCTTCCACCTGCCTTCATTTTCATCCCCCTACAGCCCATACCCATCACGGATGGCTTCTGGTGGGAGCCATTTCCGCTCTTCCCTTTCCCTTGAGCTCCCGTCCCAGCTGCTTGGTGTCTGCCTCCGGAGCTTGCTTCATACACTCCGCTCCTTCCATTCCCAAACCGTTCATTCTTGACTCCAGCTCCGGAGGTGAATGCTCACTCCAGAATCAGCTGGGGGTTTGCAGGATGTCCAAGCTGCTGGATCAGGGTGGTCAGGGACACGCCTGAGCATCTGCTACACGGTTCTGCAGCCTCGCTTCCTCCCCCTGAAGCTGGCATTTGGGATGAGCTCTGTCACCAACTTGTAGGTGACTTTGACTCTGCCCGCATGTTTTCTACAGCCCATCTGACCCCTCGCCTCATCCCCCAGGTTAAAGCCTCAGGCTTGGCCTCTCCACCATGTGGCACGAGGCGCGAAGCATGAGCGGAAGCTGCGAGGCATGATGGTCGACTACAAGAAGAGGGCGGAGCGGCGGCGGGAGTACTATGAAAAGATTGTGAGTAACTGACCTTTAATCCGGGGTGGGAGCTCCCTGCGAGGGTGGGGCCCTGGTCATCCTGGTAAAATTTGGGCTCCGTTTCCTCTTCAGCCATTTCTTCGGCAGAATCGGTGCTAAAACCCCGTGGCATTCTGTGTGTGAGCGCGTACCGTGGTGGTTGGTGTGGCCTCAGAGCACAGAGCTAGTGTTAGCAGGGAGAAGGAAGGTCTTTGTGACACGCGGCCCAGTCCAGATATGAGACTGGCCACCTGCGGAGTGTTGCTTGTCTTGCTTACTGCTGTATTCGCAGTGTCCGGGGCTCAGCCATTCTAGAGGTTGGCTTGGCACGCCACAGGTGTGCCATCAACATTCATTAAGTGAACTCTGACCACTTCCCTCTCCTGTTTGATGCGTTAATGCTTCACTTTTTTTTAAAAGTATATTTTATTGATTTTTTACAGAGAGAGGGATAGAGAGTTAGAAACATCGATGAGAGAAAAACATTGATCAGCTGCCTCCTGCACACCCCCCACTGGGGATGTGCCTGCAACCAAGGTACATGCCCTTGACCGGAATCGAACCTGGGACCCCTCAGTCCACAGGCAGACACTCCATCCACTGAGCCAAACCGGTTAGGGCAATGCTGCACTTTTGGAGAGAAAACCAAACACCATTCCATGACCTAAAAGGTCCTTCTGGTCTGTCCTCTGCCCGTCTCTCAGCTTCAGTCTTGGGTAGCTCCAATGTCCCTTTTTGCATCTCTGCTACCACACATTGTGCCTGTATTGCCTCCCCTCACCTATTTAATGCCTACTTGTCATGGAGACCCCAGTTTACAAAGGCACTTATGTCCTAGGGTTAGTGTTCCAATTATATGATATTTGTATAGACATTTCTAGTGCTACTGTATCACTGCCCCAGCCCCCTCCTTGGTCTCCTGGCCTTTAGCCCTGCTCCATCCATCCCACCCTCTTCAGAGGGTTCAGAGAGGTCTTTCTAAAGCACAGAGCTGACCCTGTCCCTCCCTTGCTCAGAACTCCTTTGTGGCTTCCTAGTGCCCTTGAGAGAAAATCCAGGCTCCTCAACACAGCCTTCAAGGCCCTGCTGGTCTGGCTTTTGCCTCCTTTCAGACTCACACCACCTGTTCTGCCTCATTCCTTTGCTCAAGCCATCTGGCCTCCTCACTACCTAGGTGACCATCTCTAACACAAAAGATGTATAAAGAGTATAAATTGCCCTGGCTGGTTTGGCTCAGTGGATAGAGCGTTGGCCTGCGGACTGAAGGGTCCCGGGTTCGATTCCAGTCAAGGGCACATGCCTGGGTTGCAGGCTCGATTCCCAGTGTGGGGCGTGCAGGAGGCAGCCAATCAATGATTCTCTGTCATCATTGATGTTTCTATCTCTCTCTCCCTCTCCCTTCCTCTCTGAAATCAATAAAAATGTATTTAAAAAAAAAAAGAGTATAAGTTTACCTCCCAGAATTATATAGCCCTTTCCGGCCACAGGCCTTTCATGAACTCTTCCTATACCTGATTTACTCCTGCTCGTCTGTCACATCTCAACCTGTAGGGCAGTCTTCCCTCATCCCCTCACTCGGTCAGGTGTCCGGAGAAGTGCTGTCACAGCCCCCTGTCCTTCCCCTTTGTGGAATTTAGCACACACATCCAGCTCTGTAAGATTAGGGACGAGGTGCATTTGGATCATTTTTGCATCCCAAGCTTGGGTCCAACAAATACGGTTTGAAAGAATAGATGAACTAAAACAATATAACAATAGCATTTACCATTTTAATTGATCCTTCTCGGGCACTAGGCTATGTGAAAAGAGCTTTAGATACATGATTTTTTGAATCCCCAAAGTCACCAGTGAAGTAGAGACTGTTACCCTAAGAGAGGAATCTCTGGGTGCTCCTCACTTGCCTTCTGTCACCCACAAATGCACCACCGGGCTGCAGGGAGAGTCCATCTCTGGTGGTGTCAGAACTATAGCGTGACCACAGGGCAGGGCCTGGCGTGTGTTGCTGTGTTGAGGCCCCAGCAGTGGCCCAGGAGCATAGCCAGTGCTCAAGAATGATGCCCGGCCGGCGTGGCTCAGTGGTTGAGCATCAACATGAACCAGGCGGTCACGGTTCGATTCCCGGTCGGGGCACATGTCTGGGTTGCGGGCTCGATCCCCAGTGTGGGGCCTGCAGGAGGCAGCCAATCAATGATTCTGTCTCATCATTGACGTTTCAGTCTTTCTCTCCATTTTTCTTCCTCTCTGGAATCAATAAAAATATAAAAAAATATTTTTGTTGATTTAGACAAGAAGGGGGAAGAAAAGAGAGATAGCCTGGTTGCCTCTTCTACATGTGAAGTGATATAACATGTAGAATCAGGTTTGGCTGTGAATAATAGAGACCTAAAACATCAGTGGCTTAAACAAAAAAAATTTATTTCCTTTTCCACATAGATGCCCAGTGGTACCCAGTTCTGCTCAGGGACCATTTTATTGTTTAGCTGTACATGACTTCTTTTCCCGGTATTGTGTCAAGGTCTAAGAGGGCTGCTCAAGCTCTGGCCATCATGTATGTCTTCATTCCACCCACCAGGCTAAGAGGTATACACTTTATTCTGGGTGGCCTTGCGCCAGATATATTAGGAGTCCTATTACTGCTGGAGAAGGGGGATGGATTGTTTGCCACAAATGGTGGGAATAAGAGCAGTTCCCACACAGGGCCGTTGGAATATTTGGTGAGATTGAGCACATAGACCACTGAGCGTGGGCTTGCTCAGGGCAGCTTGCTCAGTCAGTGCTAGCTCTTGTTGTTACTGAACTTACTATTACCAGGTAGAGCTGGAATTTGCATCCAGGTCGATGGTGTACCCGTGGTCGGCAAACTGCGGCTCGGGAGCCACATGCGGCTCTTTGGCCCCTTGAGTGTGGCTCTTCCTAAGCCTTAGGAGTACCCTAATTAAGTTAGTAACACTGTACCTACCTATATAGTTTAAGTTTAAAAAATTTGGCTCTCAAAAGAAATTTCAATCGTTGTACTGTTGATATTTGGCTCTGTTGACTAATGAGTTTGCCAACCACTGGTGTAGACGAAAGAGGGCTGGAGTTGGGTCTCCAGGCTCTCCTTGTTAGCGGGGAGCTCCCTCAGCTTTATTTTCCCCTTGGGACAGTGGTGATGACCAGCCCCTCTCACAGGGGTTGACTGGGAAAAGCATCAAGAACAAGAACAGTGACTGTGGGGTGCTTTGTGGTGCAGGCCTGTACAAGCTGTCATTGTCCCCATACATGAACGTGATCAGCATTCCAATCCAAGGCACCAAGCTGTGGACTGTGGCAATGGCTGGGCAGTTGCTGATGGGCTGCTTGCACAGTCTCTTATCTCATTCTTGTGCTGAGAGAGGCGGCTGTGGGCGAGTTTTGAAGAAGCTGAGGTATATTGTGGCAGGCCAGAGATGTGTCCAGACAGAGGTGGCTTCTCTGCCTCTGATTTGTCCTTGGTGCATCCTCTCTCTCCCTAGCAGACATTGGTTCTGTTCTTGATCTTGTCCTTGTCAACTCTCTTCTTTAATCAGTGGTTTGCATAAAGGAACAATCCCCTGAAGATATGAAAGTGGGAAATAAACAAATCTTGACTCAGGTGTCTCCTCCAGAAAGCCCCTGGCTGAGTGAGGCATTCCCCCTGGACTCCCCACTCCAGGTCATCACTGTAGCATGGGTCTAGACTTGTGAGCTGTGAGGGCAGCACAGGGTCTACACATAGTTGCTTGCTTAACAGTTGAATGAATGAATGAATGAATGAATGAATGAATGAAAAACTTCATGAACGAACTCTTCTGATCCCATCTGATCCTGGTGGCAAAATAGTTGAGGGTTAATGGATTTTAGGTCTATATCTATATCTATATCTGTATTTTTTATCCTCACCTGAGGATATATATTTTTTTGATTTTTAGAGAGAGAGGAAGTGGGGGAGAAGTTGCCTCCATGCCCTGGCTGGTTTGGCTCAGTGGATAGAGCGTTGGCCTGCAGACTGAAGGGTCCTGGGTTCGATTCCGGTCAAGGAAGGGCCTGTGCTCGGGTTGTGGATTTGGTCCCCAGTAGGGGGACGTGCAGGAGGCAGCCAATCAATGATTCTCTCTCATCATTGATGTTTCTATCTTTCTCTCCCTCTTCTTTCTTCTCTGAAATCAATAAAAATATTTTTTTAAAAATCAGTTGCCTCGTGTATGTGCCCCGACCGGGAATCAAATCCACAACCTGGGTATGTGCCCTGACTGTGAATCAATCCCGAAACCTTTTGGTGTACAGGACGATGTTCCAACTGAGCCACCTGGCCAGGGTGGATTTTAGGTTTAAAGAGATATTTGTACATCATGTTTATTGCAGTATTATTCACCATAGTCAAGATGTGGAAATAACCTCAATGTCCATCTGCTGATGAATGGATAAAGAAAATGTATATAAGTACAATGGAATATTATTCAGCCTTAAAAAGGAAGGAAATCCTGTCACATGCTACAACATGGAGGAAACATGAGGACATTATGCCTAGTGAAATCAGCCAGTCACAAAAAGACAAATACTGCAAGATTCCACATATATGAGGTACCTAAAGTAGTCAAACCCTTAGAGCAAATAGAATGGTAGTTACCAGGGGCTGGGGGGCCTGGAAATGGAGAGTTATTCAGTGGGTATGGAGCGTCAGTTTCGCAGGGTGAAAAAGTTGCGGAGATATGTTGCACAACAAGGTGTATATAGTTAATGCTGTTGTACTGTACACTTAGAAGTCCTTAAGACAGTAAATTTATGTCAACCCATTGGGTTCAAATTCTAGTTAGCTTATTACTAATGTGATCTTAGGCAAGTGGGTTTTACTGTCTGAGCCTCAGTTTCCTAACCTGGAACATGGGGCCAAGAGTAGTACATTTCTCCCATGGGTGAGAACTTTGAGAAAATGTACATAAAACACTTAGATAGATCAATGCCTGGCTTTTGGTATGGTTTGTTGATTTTTCCAGAATATTCCAACAGCCGGGCTCTGGACTCGGGTTTTACTCTCAGCCCAATGCTTTTTCCTTACTGTGGTGCCTACACTGCCAGTGGTTTTCCTGTATCTGCCAAAGCCCATCCTGGAAACAATGTCCTATGAGTCTTGGCTGTTGGGAACTGGGCCTTTGGCCTGGAGCAGTGTGAGGGATGTCTTGGCCTTAGACTTGGCCAGGGGCTGTCATGGGGCTGAGGAGCCTGAGGAGCCGTGTGGCCTGAGAGGAGAAACTGAAGGAGACAGGTGAGGGGCAAGTGAGGAGTTGAATTCTAGCAGCACCACCTCTGGCAGCCCCTGGGGTCTTGGGCGTATCACCCCTCAGCTTCTGGGTGTGAAATGAGGACAATAAGGGCCCAGCACCTGGGCCTCAGTAGGTGCAGGATAGATAGAGGCCTGATACCAGCTGTGGCTCCTCAGCTCCTTGTAGTGGAAGGTGTCCTGCTCATCTGCTGGCCGGGGTTCGGGTGGGAGATGGAGGCCGTGAGGGAGTGCAGGATCTTGGAAACTTGATGCTGATGGTTTTTCCTGGAGGGGCTTCGTCTCCTTATCTGTCAGGGAGGAGTGTTCCTGAGCCCCTGTGTGGACCAGGCCTGTTGTAGCCACTGAGTATATGACTGAACAACAGAGATCCCTGCCCGGGGGGAAGTGATGTTTTAGTGTGAGAGACAGGTGATCAGTGAATGTGAGGTGCAAAATCGAGTGGTGGTAGGTGCTCTGAAGCAAACAGTGGGGTCAAGGAGATAGAGGAAATGAGGGGTTGTGAGGCGAGCTGTTTCGATAAAGTTGAGAGGGGGGCTTCTAGAAGCGAAGGGGTGTTATGCACAAGAACATGGCAGGTCGAGAGCAAAGCAAGCGCTGAGGTCCTGAGTGGAGCATGGGCAAGCCTGGATGTTCAAGGAGTGGTGCAGGCCGGGCTGCCTGGAGCAGAGCTGGGGGAGAGCGTGCAAGGGCTCTCAGCAGAGGGACTACGGTTTTCACAGAACCCCCTGGCCACTCTGTGGAGAATGGACTGCAGAGGGTGAGGGTGGCCACAGGGGGTCCTAGAGGGGCTGCTGCCTGGTCCCAGCGAGAGGAGATGCTGGCTGGAGCAGGGAAGGAATGGTGATGGAGCTGTGGGCAGGGGTTGGGTGCTTGGGCAGCTCGGCAGGGATTTAGTGGCTATCACAGCAGCCTTCCCAGGGCTCTCCTGGGGTCTGTGGTGTGGCATACAGCTGAGCGCAGCCAGGGCCCATCACACGGGAAGCGCAGTGGTGCAACTGCTGCTGCTAGACTTTCTCCTTTCCTGACAATTACGGTGCCTTGGAATTGTGATCCCCACACAAGCACCTGAGGGGCGTACGTAGCCTCAGGGATAGTCTCCTCTATCTTTGTAACTTTTTTTAAAAAACAGCTTTTTGAAGATATAATTCACATACCACACAATTCACTCATTTCAAGTGAACATTTCAGTGGTTTTCAGTATATTCACATGGTTGTGCAACCATCACCACAATTAATTTTAGAAAATTTCATGACCTTGAAAAGAAACCCTGTACCCATTAGCAATCAGTCATCCCCCTTCCCCGCCCCAAACTTCCCAGCCCTGGGTAACCACTAACCTGCTTTCTGTCTCTGGCTTTGCCTATTCTGGACAGTTCACATAAACGGGATCATCCTTTTGTGCCTGACTTCTTTCCCCTCCCATAGTGTCCTCAAGGTTCACCCTTGTTATGGTGTGGAACGCTGCTTCCTTCCTTGTTATTGCCAAACAATATTCCATTGTCTGGATGTACCCCGTTGTATCTGTGCTGTCATCTCTCTCAGCCCGTCGTCTGTGGGCGGCCATTTGGATTGTTTCCACCTCCTGGCTATGGTGAATGGTGCTGTTATGAACGGTTATATACAAGTATTTGAGTATCTGTTCTAGGTTCTTTTGGCTATCTACCTAGGAATGGAATTGTTGGGTCACACGGTCATTCTTTGTTTAACTATTTGAAGAACCTAATTTCTCCACATTCTTGCCAATACTTGTGTTGTCCGTCCTTTCCATTTTAGCCGTCCTGGTGAGTGTGGAGTGGTATCTCGTGGTTCTGATGAGTATTTCCCTGATGACTAATGACATTGAGCATCTTTTCATGTGCCTGGTGTGAGGCTGATCCAGGCCAAAGGGCTCACCCCTGGCTCTGAATGCCCCGGGTGGGGGTGAAGAGTTGCGGGGTAATACTTTAGGGAGGGAGGTCTTGCTACTGACCGTGCAGAAGCTTGGACTAGATGGAGCTCAGAGCCTCTTGCCCCCACCTTGAGGGGAAACCCCTTGTTCCCCAGAGATTGAGTGGCCCCTGCTGGTGCTGCCACCCCTGTACAGGTTAGTTCACCTCTGAGATACGGCCCGCTTGGCAGAGGTGAGCTCGCTGCTGCACCGGTTGTGTGGAGGGTAGTGAGGTTGGAGCTCAGCTGGGAGATAACTTCCATCCTGTCTGTTCTGCAGAAGAAGGACCCGGCCCAGTTCCTGCAGGTACATGGCAGAGCTTGCAAGGTACACCTGGATTCTGCAGTCGCCCTGGCCGCAGAGAGCCCCGTTAACATGTAAGACTGAGTTTAAGGGGCCAGGTAATATCTGTGACCAAGGGTCACGGGGGACCTGGGGTATGGACAGACCTTTAGGGACTCAGGCAAGTAAGGCTTGACCTGCATGGGAAGGTGTTAGTCACCAGCTAAGGAGAGCCGGTGAGTTAGGATGGAGGCCCTAGGGTGTAGTGGTGGTTGAAGGACTTAGAGGGGAATTGGTGGGACCAGGGCTAGGATCAGAGGCTGAATTGAAGCCGGAGTAGGTGGCCAGAGAGATGTTCGGGTGACAGGCTTGGAAGTGGCCCCTAGGATCTGGTTCAGGTTCTTCACACTTACTTGGGTCTGAGGAAAAGAGCCCCAGTTTCTATGGTGCTGTACTCAGGCCCCTATTCAGGCAGGTTTGTACCATAGCGCCTGAGAGGAGAGGGGATAGAGAAGACTGAGGGCCAGGCTCCCAGGCTTCAGGTGGCAGGGAATAGGTACATTGTGTCCGGGGCAGCGGGGACCCTAAGCTCCTTGCTCCCCTGCTTCCCACTTCAGGATGCCCTGGCAGGGGGACACCAACAACATGATTGACCGTTTTGATGTTCGTGCCCACCTGGACCACATCCCTGACTACACCCCCCCACTGCTCACCACCATGTAAGCTGTCTCCCCCAGGGGTTGCCAGGCAGGGAGTCTGACCCAGCAGCACCTCTTCTTTCCCAAGTCCTTGCCTGCCTGCCACCTTCCCGGTCCCCCAGCCTGAGCCAAGCCCCTCATACCCCCTCTTGCTGGCTTGGGGTGGGATCTGCCTTCTCCCTCTGATCTCAAAGCCTTGACTTCCGCCAAAGCTCCCCAGAACAGGAGTCGGATGAGCGGAAATGTAACTACGAGCGCTACCGTGGCCTGGTGCAGAACGACTTTGCTGGCAGTGAGTGATCTTGGGTGTGGGGAGGTGGTTTGGGGGCTCCTAGAGACTGGAAGATCTAGACAAGTTTGGGAAGAAAGGTTCCTCCCCTAGTTTTGGTCCCAGCTCCGTCCCTCTCGGGGCCTCCTTCTCTTGACTCGGTACAGGAGATGTCTGCTGAGCTAGACGGCCCTGCCAAGGTCACTTCTACATCCCTGGCCCTCTGACTCTATGGTCTTTTTTCCTAAAAAAAAATTTGGGGAAAGTTGCAGTAACACATTGTTTTCCTCTGTGTGTTTATTTTCCCTGCCTACATGGGTCAGAATGTGAGCTCTAAAGAGGAAATGGCTCCTGTTTTGAACAATTATTTAGGCTGAGTATGCCAGTTTGCCAAGTGTTCATATATGTCCACCATTGTTCTCCAAGCAATCACTGTTGCCTTCCAGAGAAAATGGAGGCTCAGGGAGACTTCTCGGCTCTTGGCTTGCCTAGGGAGGTTTGGACCCTGGCCAACTTGGGCTTTTTAAAAATCTCATTACATCTGCATACCCACCCAGCAGGGTAGTGGTGATGCCCCATTTTACAGACAAGGACCGTGTGGGTCAGGAGTTGTCCACGGAGCCGCAGTGCTCACCTACCTGTAACCACCACTCCTTCCTGAGGGCCAGCTCCAAACTCTAGCCGGCCTCCTGCGGGTGAACGAGAGCCCTGATGGCTCTAAACCATACTTCGTTTTTTTACGGCCCGCGGGCCGGATCCGGCCCGTTTGAAATGAATAAAACTAAAAAAAAAAAAAGACCGTACCCTTTTATGTAATGATGTTTACTTTGAATTTATATTAGTTCACACAAACACTCCATCCATGCTTTTGTTCCGGCCCTCCGGTCCAGTTTAAGAACCCATTGTGGCTCTCGAGTCAAAAAGTTTGCCCACCCCTGCTCTAAACCATACTTCGTTTTTTTGTTTTGTTAATCCTCACCGGAGAATATTTTTTCCATTGAGTTTTAGAGTGAGTGGTAGGAAGGAAGGGAGGGAAGGGAAGAGAGAGAAACGTCAATGTGAGAGAGACACATCCATTGGTTGCCTCCTGCACGCACCCCAATCAGGGCCAGGGATTGAACCTGCAACCCAGGTACGAACCCTTGACAGGGAATGGAACCTGCGACCCTTTGGTGCATGAGATGATACTCTAACCATTGAGCAACACCATCCAGGCTAAACTTAATTTAAATTGAACACAGTGGAGAGACCGTGAGGTCCATGTGACATCCAGTATTCAGGATAAGTTTATAGTTCTGAAGGGTCCAGCCAGAGGCCTCCCTAACAGTGTTAAAGTAGCAGTGCCCGAGTACCAAGTGCTCACTCTGCCGGTGGTCCCATTTTACAGAAAAGGAAACTGAGGCACAGAGTGGTGAAGTCCCTTGATTGGGGTCACAGGGTGAGTTAGTGGAATAGTCAGGGCCCCCCTGCAATTGCTGCGTCCCCAGCACACACAGTTTGTGATTATCTAGAAATCAGTGACTCTGCTCCTGGCCGGGTTGGGTTGTACCTGCGCGTCTTCCCCACTGCATTTTGTGTCTGCTCCTGAAGTCCTCGTGTCCCCAGACCCAGTGACCCGCATGCCTTTTGCCTTGCTGCAGTCTCGGAGGAGCAGTGCCTGTACCAGATCTACATTGACGAGTTGTACGGAGGCCTCCAGAGACCCAGTGAGGACGAGAAGAAGAAGTGAGTGGGGTTGGGACACCGAGGGGTTGGGGGAGGCAGGAGGACTGTGAACCCCACCAGGGCACAGTCTCATCCATCCTTATCTCCCCACTGCTGGGTACAGTGTTCACACAGTAGGTACTTGATAAATGTTCAGAGGAAGCAAAAGCAGCAGCTGGAGGGGAAAGGTTTTCTGCAAAACTTCTACAATATGTTTTCAGCTTGTGGAGTAGTGGGAGGTGCAGTTAGGAGAGCAGGCCCTATGGAGAGATTCGAATCCTGCCGGTGAGGACGTCCCTCTCAGGGTCCTGAGGTGCTCCTCTCTGAGGTGGGGCTAACAGGAGTCCCCTCTGCCTGGAGTGGCGGGGACTGCAAGAGATGGAGCTTGGAATGCGCTTGTGCAGTAAGCTTGCAGTCAGCAGTTGATTGGCACTCCAGAGGGCGGTGTCCCTTGAGGAATGGCTGGGAGGCATAGGTGCGGTGGGGGGGTGGGTTCTTACCCTGGAGCAGGGAGGTCCCCAGCTGCCGTCTTGGGAGAGCAGCAGTCGGGCAGTCTCACTTCTCTCTCCACTCCGGTCTGGCTGTGCTTGGTCTCCCTCTGCCTTTGCACACTGTTCTCCAGGGTTAGCTGTCCCCTCCTCCAGGGCCCCTGCGGTCCCACTTGCTCCACAGCGGTCCTGGACCCCTGACTCCTTCCCTCCTGCTGAGGCTTCTTTGTGAGCCTAAGGCTTGCTGCTTCCCTTCACCTGAAGTGTTTTCACGGATGTGACTAATCCTATGCATGACCCCACTTTCAGGACGAGGCTGGTACTAGGAAGCGTCAGGGAATGTTGACTAAATTCAGCAGCAGACATGCACTAGGCCCCTGTTCTGTTCTGGGCAAAGGTGGGCCACATTGTTACCCAAAATAACTCGGCCCTGCCCTTTAAGGTCTCCTAGTCTGGTGGAGGCAGACTGGTCTGTCACTGACAGTAATGACCCAGCGTGGGCCAGGCAGGGCCTTGACCCCACCTGGAGGAGGTCTTCCTAGAAGATGGGGCATTGGCCCTGGGCCTGGGTGGAGAGGGAGAAGCTGGTGAGAGGTGGGTGCAGAGGGTTTCAGGCTGAGGGAGGCAGATGTGAGGGCCGTGTGCAGAGAGCTCGGTGTGCTGCGTCCTCTCCCCTGGGTGCTGCCCTGGCTTACAGGCTCCCCCGTTCCAGGCTGGCGGAGAAGAAGGCGTCCATTGGCTACACCTATGAGGACAGCACGGTGGCCGAGGTAGAGAAGGTGGCAGAGAAGCCAGAGGAGGAGGAGTCACCAGCTGAGGAGGAGAGCAACTCGGACGAAGATGAGGTCATCCCCGACATCGGTGGGGTCCCCTCTCTGCCCTCCCCCTCCCCGCAGTCCCTGGGCATCGTTTTTTTTTGTGTGTGTCTTGTCCCTCACCCTCTGTGGGGCACCCTGTGCTCACAAGCCCCGTCTCTGCCAACCCTGCTCCAGGGCACTCTAGCCTCCTGCCGCCCTCGCTGTCTTCTGTGCTGTTCCCAGCTTCTCTCTCTGTAACCCCTTTCTCAATTTAGGACACTGCTTTATGACACTGTCCCCACCTAGATTCTGGCTCCGTTCTCTTCTACTTGGGTCAGCTTCTGTCTCTCCCTCCCCTTCGTTTTCTCTCCTGGAAAACAAGTGGTCATCCAGTTACAGAGGCGCCCCTCATGCCCACCCTGCCATTTCCCTACCTCAGCGCCCATTGCTCCACACCCAGCATCTTCCTTCTCCTCCCAGCTCTCACTCAGCCAGCTTACAGTGCACATGGAAAGTGTCCATCCCACTTCCACTTCTGTGTCACCCACTGGCTCCTAATTGTCTGTGACCCACACCCGTCTCCATCCACCCTCAGGCGGTCCCTAGTCACTCCTCACTTTTCTCTCATTCGCTTCATACGTCTTGCTCATCCATCCCACTGCTCATGTTCATGTGGGCTCCCATCCATTACATCACCTGCCCACCTCCACCCCCACCCCCACCATTTATTGTGCCTGCCTCTGGCCAAGCCCTGTGCCGGCCTGGGGACACTGAGATGACCTGACTCACTCCCGCCCTGCAGAGGCCTTCAGTCTGGTGGGCTCCCCTGTCCTCTGTTTCGGCTTTGGCCCCTGACAGCCTTTCTCTTGGTGCAGACGTGGAGGTGGACGTGGATGAACTGAACCAGGAACAGGTGGCAGATCTCAACAAACAGGCTACAACCTATGGCATGGCTGATGGTGACTTCGTCAGGTGAGGCCTGATGGCTGACACCCCTTCCTACTCTGGATGCGGTATTTCTGTTGTTCCTCCGATACTAATAGCCACCCCATTACTGAGCATTTTGTATGCCTGGCCCTGCACTAAGGGCTTTACACACACAGGTTTCTGAGCTTGTGGGCTGGGCCCTTGTGACCCAGCTTTACCTGGGCAGAAATTAAGGCCAACCCCAACTCTATTGGACCTGTGGTGACCTGACCCCTGTGAAGCTCCCAGGGTTCCTGGGCCTGGTGGACAGCACCCTCTAGTGGACTGTCTTTGTTCACTGGGTCATTCTCTAGTGCTTGGCTGGTTGAGCCTCTGCCCTGTGCCACACCCCATGCAGATTACATAGAATGGTCCCAGCAAACCAGGGCAGTAAATTGGAATCTGAATAATCCCAAGTTTGAACACAACACCTTCTGCCCAGAACCCTCTATGGCTCCCACCTCAGAAGCAACCAGTGCTCTCACCACTGCCACAAGGTCTCACCTGTCTGATCCTTTGCCCATCCACCCACACACTCCAACCCTGCCCAGCCTCCATGGCCTCCTTACTCCTCAAGTGCCTGGGGTCCCATCTGCCCTTCAGGCCACTTTGTGCAGTTGGCTCTGCTGGTATTTGTGCAGCTTTCCCCTGATTTCTCCTCAGCTGTCTTTTTTTTTTTTTTTTGGTTAATCCTCACCTGAGGACATTTTCCCATTGATTTTTAGAGAGAGTGAAGGGAGGGGGAGAGACAGAGAGAAACATCAATGTGAGAGAAAGACATCAATTGGTTGCCCCCTACATGCCCTGACCAGGGCCAGGGATCGAGCCTGCAACTGAGGTACGTGCCCTTGACTGGAAACGAACCTGGGCCCTTCATTCTGTGGGCCGAATCTCTGTCCACTGAGCCAAACCGGCAAGGCCCTCAGCTGTCACTTTCTATGTGGCTTCCCTGACCCCCCTGTTGGAAGCTGCTGCAGCTTCTACCTGTTCCTGGCACTTTCTTTCCCCTTTCATAATTTATTTTCCCATCAAGGTTTTCACCATCTAACCTGTCATATGATTTATTTCTGTGGGTCTTTTCCCCAGCATGTAAGCCCATGAAGATAAGGATTTCTCTATTTTTCTTTTTTTAATACTGAATCCCCAACACCTAAAACAACACCTGGCATGCAGTAAGTGCTCAATAATAGTGCTGAATGAGTGAGAGGCCCAGCGTGGCATGGAGCCCCCACCTCCTGCAGTGACTCTGCCTGTGGCCTTCCCCCTCCTCCCTGGTGACACTCATCCCTCTGTGCAGGATGCTTCGGAAAGACAAGGAGGAGGCAGAGGCCATCAAACATGCCAAGGCCCTTGAGGAGGAGAAGGCCATGTACTCGGTGAGGGCTGGGCCGGGTGGGGGCAGGAGTGCGTCTCAGGGAGGGCGCACCCCTCACCATCCTGGTACCCACCCTACTTCAGGGCCGTCGCTCCCGGCGCCAGCGGAGGGAGTTTCGGGAGAAGCGCCTGAGGGTCAGCCCACCCAGGTAGGTCGGGTTCTTCCCTGTGCCCCCACCCTGCCAGCGTCAGTGTTTCCAGGTTCTAGGGAGGGGGCTGGGGCTCAGAAGACTCTTTGGGGGCAGGCTTGTGGCTTGTGGAGAGTCCTAGTGGGGCAGTGAATGGGGAGGATTAGAGGTAGGAATGGCCTTGAGGGGTATGTGGACCCCTGCCCTGCCAGCCATTCTCCTCACTCAGGGCCCCTGCCAGGATCTCGGCGCCAGTGGGAGGCAGCGAGGGATGGCTGGAAAAGGCGAGGGGCAGGGGCTGCTTGGGTGCTTCCTCACTGTCAGAGCTTGGGCAAGTGACTTCCTCTCACAAACTTAGTTTTCTCCCTTGGAAAACGGGTACTGTGACCTCCCAGGAGAGGGGCTGTGCCGGTGCCCACATTGTGGTCTTGAGCAGGTTTGGATGAGGCAGGCTGGTGTGTGGAGAGCCCTTCTGCCCCTGCCTCTTAGGCCTGGCAGCCCTGGGCAAGCCCGTACCTCCTTTTGCCACATGTCCTGTATTCAAGGAGTGTGATTGAGGGTTGCCATGAGGCTTAAACAGCCCGTTGTGGGTTCAGGGTTTGTTATATGGTATGGAAAGTGTTCATTAGAGAGTCACACGGATTCTTTCCATCATTATCATCACTGTGGGGCAGGCGTGGGCCATATGGCCTGAGTTGGAATCCCAGCTTTCATTTATGAAATGTGTGACCCTGGGCAAATGGCATTTAAGACATGTTAGTTGTAGTTTTATCACCCTCATCATTAGTTAAGCCAGGACCCACTTAGCAGAACCCGGGCATGGGGTGGGAAGAGGGACACTTCCAGACTAGGTTCTGGAGGCCAAGCAGGACTGAAGTCCTTGTTAGTTTGGGTCAGGATGCATCTGGAACGTTGTTTGGGGGGTAGGGTCAAGGTTAAGGCTTTGGACAGATCTAGGGAGGGATAGACAAAGGGATCCAGGGCAGGGCCCATAACCTAGCCAACAGCTTCCTTCTCACTCTGCACGGTGTCTGGCTTTGGATGCCCAAGTCCAGGGGTTGGGCCCAATTCCATGCCAGCTCAGATCCCAAACCCCCTTTTGTCCCACTTCATTCTTCTCTTCATAGCTATGCACGCCGAGACAGCCCCACCTACGACCCCTACAAACGGTGAGTTCCTGGGGACCCAGGGAACAGCAGCCAGCAAACCCCCTAATGGAGGGGTAGGGTGAAGAGGGGTACGGGGTGCTGTTAGGGTCCCTGAGCTCACAGACTGGGTGATGTGTTCTTGGCATTTTAGCACCTGATATCAGCTGTGAGTCTGAATCTATTTTTATTTTTGTGTTATGTTGTTTATTTTATTTTAGATATACATATATTTTATTGATTTCAGAGAGGAAGGGAGAGGGAGAGGGAGAGATATAGAAATCAATGATGAGAGAGAATCATCAATCGGTTGCCTCCTGCACGCCCCCTACTGGGGATCGCTACCCAGGCTCATGCCCTTGACCGGAATTGAACCTAGCACCCTTGAGGCCACAGGCTGCTGCTGTATCCACAGAGCCAAACTGGCTAGGGCTTTATTTTATTTATTGATTTTAGAGAGAGGAACATAGATTTGTTGTTCCAATTATTTATGCATTCATTGGTTGCTTTTTGTAGGTGCCTTGACTGGGAATTAAACTCATAAAACTTGGTTTATAGGGACAATGCTTCAACCAACTGAGCTACCTGGTCAGGGCTGAATCCCTGCCCCCCCCGCCCCCCCCCCCCCCAATGTTAGCCTGCTTTCCCAATTGTTTTCTTTATATATGAACCCTCTTTAATTTTCTGATTTAATCACAATGGAGTCTTGTGTTAAAGATGACCAAAAATGGCAGAAAGGTATAACTTAAAAATCCAAAGTGTCTTTAACTTGAATGCCCAGAAATAAGCAGTGAGAACTAATAGGCATGTGTAGCCTGTCTGTGCCCATGTGTCCTCCTGGATGTGGCACTGGTTGGGAAGGGGGTTTGAGGGTGGACAGACCTCAATCTGACCTAATTCCCTCATGAGAATGGGGTGGGTGGGACCTGTTCAAGGGGCTTTTGGGAGGATATGTGAAGGCGAGGCACCTTTTGGTGAGAGGTCTGGCATTGTACCATACTTCAGTGTCTTAGAACCGCCGCCCCCCCCCCCCACACACACACTTAACATATATATTGGGAAATCCTTCCATGTTAAATACATAGATCTGCTCCTCCCTTTTTCAAAGCCATGCAAAATCAGTACAGTTCTCTGTCACTCCCTTTCCTGGCTCTTTTGGAAAGGCTACCTGGTTCTGAATCAGATCCTTGTACAGCCATGGGTGCTGGGTGTCAGGGCCCACGCCGTTCTCATTGCTGTTGCTCTGCAGTGCGAATCCTTCGCTGGCAGACAGGCTCGAGGACCCTGATGACTGAGCACCCCCCCTCCTCTGTAGGTCGCCCTCAGAATCCAGCTCCGAGTCTCGCTCCCGCTCCCGCTCCCCAACTCCCGGCCGTGAGGAGAAGATCACCTTCATCACCAGTTTTGGGGGCAGCGATGAGGAGGCAGCGGCAGCAGCCGCAGCTGCAGCTGCATCAGGGGCTGCCACAGGGAAGCCTCCCGCACCCCCTCAGCCTGGCGGCCCCGCCCCGGGACGTAATGCCAACGCCCGGTCGGTAACGCTCACGCTGCTCGCCCTACGCCCTGGCCACAGTCCTGGCCACCGTGGGGGGACCCGGGGCAGGGGGCGCTAGGGCTCAGACCAGTACTGACCTGCCCTCTGCCCTGCCTGCAGCCGCCGCTCCTCCTCCTCCTCCTCTTCCTCTTCTGCCTCGAGGACCTCCAGCTCCCGTTCCAGCTCTCGCTCCAGCTCCCGCTCCCGCCGTGGTGGGGGCTACTATCGCTCAGGCCGACACGCGCGCTCCCGATCCCGGTCCTGGTCTCGCTCCCGGTCCCGCTCCCGGCGGTATTCCCGGTCTCGCAGCCGTGGCCGGCGGCACTCGGGTGGAGGCTCCCGAGATGGACACCGCTACTCCCATTCACCACCCCGACGTGGTGGGTATGGGCCCCGCCGTAGAAGCAGGTACGTGGGGCCTGGTGTGCATGGGGGTGAGGGACCTGCTGGTGACCTGGGCCCTGAGGTCAGTGAGACCAGAAAGCACTGGGTTTGTGGGAGGGAGGCCCACTCTGTGAGGCAGCTCCAAGCATGGTGACATGGCTGGAGCACCGCCACCTTGCTCAGGGATGCTGTGGGGACAAGACCGAGCTGCTCTTCTCACAGGGAGTTCCTAGGCCAAGAGGTGGAGAGGCACATGGTCACTCCAGGGAGTCTTGTGGTTTGTAGCGGAATCTGGCCTTTAGAGCTGGGACAGCCCTTTGTGGGGAAGGCTGGGTTTGAGGCGAGTGCTGCAGATGACATAGGACAGAAAGCATCTAGAGACTGGGGCATCCCGCTCTCACCCGGTGGGATCAGGGCTGCTTGTGGAAAGGCAGCTCAGCTCGATGGGTGAGAACATACACCTAGGAGCGATTGCCTGGGTATAAATTCTGGCCCTGCTAGTGAACTTTCAGGCCGCCATTTCTTTGTCTGTGAATTAGAGATAGTATCCCCTTCGTCGTGGAAGTGTGACAAGTAAATCCATGTCACTGCTTAGTCCTTACACAATAGCCTCGCAGTCGGGAAGGACTGTTACTATTGCCAGCATTGTCACCTGTGTTATTCCTGCATGCCTCTCAACGTTAGCTATCTACGGGGTCTGGCAAGCAAAATGGAGGGCCCGGTGGAGCACACGTCCCATCCGAAGGCGTCATTGGCTGCTCAGTGACAGGCCTGGTATTGCCCAGTCGCCTGGTTTCTCAAGAAAAGATGAGAGTGTGGATTTTTAAAGGGCAGCTCTTGTTTTTTCAATATTACCAACAAGTTTGAATTTTCTATTTTTTTAAAGGTTTCTTCTTTTTAATATGTTTTTTAACATATTTTTTTTTTATTTCAGAGAGGAAGGGAGAGAGGGAGAGAGATAGAAACATCAATGATGACAGAGAATCATTGATTGGCTGCCTCCTGCATGCCCCCTACTGGGGATTGAGCCCACAACCCAGGCATGTGCCTTTGACCAGAATTAAACCCGGGACCCTTCAGTCCGCAGGCCGACGTTCTGTTCACTGAGCCATACCAGCTAGGGCAAACTTGAATTTTCTAAAAACTCAGGACAGCCCCAGTGGAATCAGCGTGGGGCCTGGATTTGGCTTCCAGGTCATTCCCTGTAGGCTGACCCAGGGTGATAACAGGAGAAGGCTGGGGGACTGGGGACTGGTCACATGTCAGATGCCAGTCTGCCAGTGAGCCCTGCCTGAGGAGTGCCAGTCCCAAGCAGAGAGGATGGGGCTGCTCACTCCCAAACCGGGTCCGGTAGGTGTGTGCTGCAGCCTGGTGGGGAGTGGGGCTAGGGCTTGGGCCCCACTGGTGTGAGACCCTTGGCAAGGTGAGAATGTGGTTCTTGGGTGCCCGGAGCTGGGCACAGTATGTAAAAGGGGTGCTGACCAGCCAGGGCCCACCCTCCCAGAGGTCACCTCCCAGGGAGGTAGGTAAGTGGTGTCTAGTGAGTTTGGGGTGGTTGTGTCTAGAAGGTGGTCTCTATTTAAACTGAGTGAGGCCAGGGAGCGACGAGGATTTCTGAGGGAAAGATGCTGGAGAGAGGCAGTCACACCTGGACCAACCACAGGGCCTCGGAGGAGGACTGTAGATTCAGAGCTGGGGGTGGTGGTGGTGTGAATGGGGTCCCTGGAGCCTCATGGCCCCTCTCTTGCCCCACTGTGCCGTCAGGAGCCGCTCCCGCTCAGGGGACTGGTACAGGCGGGGCGGCCGGGGTCCCAGGCACCACAGCAGTAGCCGCAGCCGCAGCAGCTGGTCCCTCAGCCCATCCCGAAGTCGCAGTCTGACTCGGAGCCGCAGCCCCAGCCAGAGCCAGAGCCGAAGCCGCAGCCGCAGTTGTAGTCGAAGCCGTAGCCAGAGTCACTCGTCATCACCCCCAAGGGAGAAGCTGACCAGGCCGGCGTCGTCCCCTGCTGTGGGCGAGAAGCTGAAAAAGTGAGCAGGTGGAGGGCTGGGGGAGGAGGACTGTCAGCCTGAGGTGGGATGAACTTGACTGTTTTCGTTTTGAACTTGCCTGTATCCTGGGAGGTGTGAGGGAACATGGCCCTGACCTGGGAGGGTGGGTCTGAGGAGTCGGGGCATTGCCTTGGATGATGGATCAGAGGGGTCAGATCCGAGAAGGACTGGGGCACCTGAGACCCATGGCCGGACTCTCTGGTCTGAGGGCTGTGTGGGGTCAGAGATGGCAGGTGTTCTTTCCTCCTCCCAGGACCGAACCTGCCGCTGGTAAAGAGACAGGAGCTGCCAAAGTCAGTAAGAATTTGGAACTCGCCCGTCTAACTCCCGCCAGCAGCAGTGCCCGAGTGCTGGGCCCGGTGGGCCTGCAGGGGGGCCCGGGTGGGCCGGGAGACCCAGCCCCGGGGATTAAGGGGGACTGGAAGGGTTCTGTCCCCATGAAATCCATGTCCCCTTCTCCTCACTGCTCACCGGGGCTCCGTCTGTCCCTGGACCTCCAGACCTTCATGGCAGGTGTCCACAGCTTGCCCCTCCCCACATGCCCCCAAAAGTCCCAGGCTCTTGAATGAGGTGGGTTGTGGGAACTCCGGGACACCCACCCCCTCTCCCACCTCTTTTCCCCCTTCCCCAGCCCAAGCTGACGCCACAGGAGAAGCTGAAGTTGAGGATGCAGAAGGCACTGAACAGACAGTGTATGTACCCCGTCTGTCCCCCAAGTCTTCCTTGCTCCCCCTCCTTCCAGCCTGGCCTTGTAGGAGAGGCTCTCTGGGGAGGAGTGGGTGTGCACGCTGCTTTGCTGCCATCGTGCTAAGGGCGTTGGTAGGCTGGTTGGCCCTCTGAGCGTGGAGGCCTACCAAGCCACTGCGTCCCTTCCTCCCCACAGTCAAGGCGGATAAGAAGGCCGCCCAGGAGAAGATGATACAACAGGAGCATGAACGGCAGGTAAGGGTGGAGTGAGAGGCAGGGCTCGGGCGGGTGCCAGCTGGGCCAGCCCTCACTGCCATCTCTGCCTCAGGAGCGGGAAGATGAGCTTCGCGCGATGGCCCGCAAGATCCGTATGAAGTAAGACCCTTCTGCTCCCTGTATCAGTCGCAGCCACCTCCTTCTGGGAAGCTCCCCATTTCCTTCGTTCCCTGCCACCCAGCTCTGAGCTATAGCCCTGCCAGAACCCTCACTTGGCCCTGTTCCTCCCTGCATCCCCAGCTTATTCCAGCCACAATGACCCTGCTCCACCAGCTCCCAGCTCCCGTTTCCTTTGCTGTTTCCCAGATCCTCACCTGGTCCCCTCCCTCAGTCCACTGGGCAATCTCCTCCCTCACCATCCTGTCCAGAGTAGCACCCCAAAACGCTCCAAGCTCCAACCCTGCTCTGTGTGCTTCATAACACTAACCCTCACCTGGCGTGCAGTCTGTTTGGTGTGCTTGCTTATTAGCGGTGTCTGCACTGAGATGCCGGGTCTGGCTGCTGTGTGTTCAGCCCCCAGAACACTGAGGTGGTGCTGTCTGTGGGAGGGCTGAACTCCAGCCAGCCCCATGGCTGGTCTGGCCCAGAGCTGGGAGACAGCTTCTCTCCTGTCCCCTCTGCTTCTCTTCTCGTTTTGTGTCTTCCACTGCAGAGTTGAGGGTCAGCTCTGTCTCTCTGTGTGGCCCTCACAGGCTAACTCAAGGATTAGTGCCCATAAGGCCTCAGGCCCTGCCCCTTCCCCCCTCCCTCCCAACCGCCCACACTGGAGGCCGTAGTGTTCCGTATTAGCAAGGAGGGACATCAGTCAGTGGCAGGACCTTGTTGCCTATCAGTAGTTCTGGTTCCACTCTGTATTTGCTGTGGTCCTTGGACAAGTAACTTGACCCCTCTGAGCCAGGACTCTTTCCTCTGTGAGACAGACATGCTAATGCCCCTGCCTTGGTGCCTTGGCAGGGTCCCACTCTGAGGCTCCCAGTGTGGTGCCTGGCACATAGGAAGGCCCGATGCCCAATCCCACTGCAGTTAGTCTTCATCGTTAATATCACTATTACACGCCCCTTGTGTGTTGGGTTTTCGAGGATGCTGTGTGCTTCCGTTAGGAGGCAGAATGCCAAAGGACTCAGCTTCATCCATCAGACCTGGGTTCTGATCCTGCCTCGTCCACCAGCTATGGGCCTTTCTCTTTTTGAGTCTTAATTTGCTCAGCTACTTAAATAGGGATGGAATAGTTGTCCCACCTCAGCCAGGAGAAGGTGCCCAGTAAATGTCCCCCTTAGGATTGCAAATCCCAGTCATTCTGTTGAAAACCAATTAAGCATTTAGCATGTAAGTCCCTGTGCTCTGGGACTGCGTGGAGTGGGACAGGACATGATTGAACTAGGCGGCCCTCCTTTCCGTTTGTTCAGCGAGCCTTTCATAGCAAGGCTGACTAGGATGGGAGTCCAGGCTCTGCCTAGCAAGCATCCCCTCTGAGCTCTGTGTCCTCATTTTCCAAGCGGGGATGGTCGCTCTTCCACTGGGACTAGGATATGAAGCACTTGCCCTGGGCACGTGCCCCAGTGCCCCTGAGTTCAGTGTTCTGGGCAGCATACTCACCCCTCCCTGGGTTGCCTCCCCTCCCCCCTGCAGGGAACGGGAACGCCGAGAGAAGGAGAGAGAAGAGTGGGAACGCCAGTACAGCCGGCAGAGCCGCTCGCCTTCCCCCCGTTACAGTGAGTGTCCCATGGTCACTGGGCCGGGAGATCTGGGCTGCAGGCTCGGGGCATTAAAAAAGAAGCAGATTGTCTCAGCGGATAGAGCCTGCGGACCAAAAGGTCCCGGGTTCGATTCCGGTCACGGGTACGGTCACAGGCACGTTGCAGGCTCCTCCTTAGCCGGCCCTGGTCAGGGCTCCTGCAGGAGGCAACCAGTTGATGTGTTTCTCTTACATTGATGCTTCTCTTGGTCTTTCCCTTTCTCTTCCACTCTTCCTAAAAATCAATGGAAAAATATCCTCAGATGAGGATTAACAAAAACAAACAAAAAGAAGTGGTCTGACCCGGATGGCTCAGTGGTTGAACGTCAACCTATGAACCAGGAGGTCACGGTTTGATTCCAGGTCAGGGCACATGCCTGGGTTGTGGGCTTGAGCCTCAGTGGGCGGCAAGCAGGGGCAGCCAAGTCAATGATTCTCTGTCATCATTGATGTTTCTATCTCTCCCTTTTCCTTCCTCTCTGAAATCAATAAAAATATATTTTTAAAAAAAAGAGAAGTGATGTCAAAACTGATTATAAAAAACCACGTTTCCACATGTTAAAACTCTTAAGATGCGTGTGTGCATGCACACAGGCAGGCATGCACAGTGTTCCTTGTCACAAGGGAATTGCAGGATGGGAAGAAATGCACATTGGTGTGGGTGGGCAGCACAGGTTGTAGTCCCAGCCGTGGACATGCTGGTGCAGCATCAGCGGAAGGTGAGACCAGAAGTCCAGCCCTGGGGCCCGTTCCTGGTCCTGGGCATTTGCTTTGTCCTCACCTCCTCCTTCCTTTCTAGGTCGAGAGTACAGCTCTTCCCGAAGGTGAGTAAGCCAGACCAGCTCCCTGGGAAATCACAGATGTCCTCTGCGGGAGGTCTGGCTGGGTTGGATTCATCCATTTCCATCCTGCACCCTCCAGTTGTAGGGCTGCCTCCCTCCTTTGCAGCCACTGAAGCCCAAGTGATCCCCAAGTATGTTGGTGCGTGTGTATACATGTACACACATGCACGGGGCTCCCCTGCTCTGCCTAGCCCTCATGGGCCCCTCCCTTTTTCTTTCCAGGCGCTCAAGGTCCAGATCCCGCAGCCCCCATTATCGACATTAGGCAGAAGTGTGGGGGCTGAGGGGCTGGGATGGGTTAGGGCTCAGGCTGCGTTGCTGCTGCTGATTTTGTTCTCTAATGAAATAAACGTTATTTAATTGCCTTCACTTGGCCTCAGTGTCATCCGTGTGCTGGGTGTGGGCTCCCAAACTCCATTGTCCGCCAGCCGTGTGTGTGTGTGTGTGTGTGGGGGGGGGGGGGGGGGGGTAGAGACAGAAACTTGCTGGGAGTGAGGGGACAGGCGCCAGTGTTGCCTGTGTGGGAAGCCTGACTGCATCTGTGCCTGCGGCCCAGTGAGGGCAGGGGCTCCATGCAGTAGGAAAAGGGCCCCGCACCCACGTGTGGAGGATGGGCCAGGACTTTGCCCAGGGCCTCTGGTGACAGGTCCAGGCCTCTCCCTGCCCTCGCCCACATCGGGAACCGGGAGCACGGCTTTCTGTGCCAGTCCTGCCGAGCCACAGGCACTGGGGGCTGGCCTTTCCCTCACCCCCTCATTCCAAACCGGTCTGTCCAGCCGTCCACCCCAAGGAGGGAAAGCCGCCTGCCCCACCTCAGATGCCCCAAGAAAGCGAAGTCCACATGTGTATAACTAGAGGGAGGGAGGGAGGATTTATTCACCAGGACATGATCAGCAGATACATGAGCAGTGGTACCAGGAATGGCAGGGGGGAAGGGCATTCCTGCCACTCAGGCCTCCCCGCCTGCTTGGGGGTGCTTCTGCCGCAGGTGTTTGTCCAGGGTGGCCCGCAGGCCGAAGGGCACGCGGCAGTGGGGGCACTCAAAGCGGGCCCCGCCGGGCCCCAGACCGTGCATGCGGCGGTGGCGGTTCAGCTTGCTGCTCTGGGCACAGGCATAGGGGCAGAGCTCGCAGGTATAGGGCCGCTCCCCGGTGTGTGAGCGCCGGTGCACAGTCAGGTTGCTGCTGTTGGTGAAACGTTTCCCACAGAACTCACAACTGCCCCCGGGCCCGTGGCTCTTGCCCACTGTCTTTGGAGTCTTCTTAGGCAACTTCTCTGGGATCTGGGCAGAGTTGATTCTCTCTTTCTTGATGGCGACACCGCAACCATCCCCACCAGGACCAGCCTGAGCTCCACCACCTGGAGCCCCAGGTTCCTGCACGCCTGCTGTGTCGGCAGCTCCAGCCCCTTCACGGCTGCACAGGAGAGTCCTGGCTGGGGCAGCGGCATGGGCGGCTGGCTCCGGAGGGGCAGCTGAGGCCTGTTCCTGACTGGCCTTGGCCGTGTAGGGGCTCTGAGGCTGCAGCTGCTGGTGGGTCTTCTTGTGGCGGTTGAGCTTGCTGCTCTGGGCACAGGCGTAAGAACACTGGTCACAGGCGTAGGGCCGCTCGCCCGTGTGCGAGCGCATGTGCACCTTGAGGTTGCTGAAGGAGCTGAGGGTCTTCATGCACACAGAGCAGGTGGGGCTCCGCCGGGGGAGGCTGTTCGCCTGGGAGCCCTTGGCCTCCACTTCCTGCCCCACCACTGCTGACATGGCTGCAGCCACCTCTGCCAGGCCCAGCAGCGGAGCCTCTGGGGCCTCGGATTCCGTCTGGTAGATGGACAGTCCATGGTCCCACTGGGCATGGCGCAGCAGTTTCCAGGCCTCGGTGAATTGTCGGCCACAGCGGAGGCAAGTCAGAGCCTTCAGGTCCTCAAGTTCTGCAGAGACAGGCTGGGTGTTAGTGTGATGGGTAAAAAGCACAGCAGTAGCGGTCACAGCTTGCCAGTTGGACACATTCTGTGGGAAAGCCTATGTTCTAGGGCCCCCAAATGGCAGGAGGACAGGGAAAACCCCTGCCCTCAGGAAGCTGATGTTCGGGGAGGGGGGTAGATGGACAAGAATCAAGGAAAGTCGGGAGTGGATGATGAGTATGCAAGGGTTCTTTCCGTGCTTGAAAATCACTGAGATGCCCTCCTGGCCAGGTAGCTCAATTGGATAGAGCATCATCCCCATGTGCCAAGGTTGTGGGTTCAACCCCCAGTCAGAACACATAGAAGAAGCAACCAATGAATGCATAAGTAAGTGGTACAAATCAACTTTAAAAGAAGAAAGGAAATCTTTGTGGAAAAGTGAATAAGTTAAAAAAAAAGTGAAAAGTTAAAGCAGAGTGAGGGACGGGGAATGCTATTTCATATTGGGGGATCAGGAAGGCCTTGCTCAAGGTGACCAAAACCAGTGTGCTAGCCCTAGCCGGTTTTGCTCAGTGGATAGCATCGGCCTGCAGACCAAAGGGTCCCGGGTTCGATTCCAGTCAAAGGTCAAAGGCACGTACCTGGTGGGGCACATGCAGGAGGCACATCGATGTTTCTCTCCCCCTCCTTCCACTCTCTCTCTAAAAATCAATGGAAAAATATCTCCAGGTGAAGATTAACAAAAAACACACAAAAAAATTAAAATCAATAAAAACGTATTTAAAAAGAACCCCCTCTTTGAGCCTCAGTTTCCACACTTGCTAGAATGTGGGGATCCTCTCCCTTTCGGGGTTGTTGTGACCTCAAATGGGGAACAACTGAGAGTTTGGGTCCATGTAACCTCTCAGTAAACCTTAGCTGGGCTGAGTCCACAACCCTCCAAGAGTCTGTGTTTCGTTCCAATAATTCCATCACAGCCCCTCCCTGCTCGCACTCGGTAGCGGATTTGATCACAGCTCTTCCTTTCAATATAGGACCCTTCCTGTGGCCCAGCCCTTTTCGAAAAAATCCCAGCTTATAGGCGGGGGACTGAAAATCCTGAGCCTAGTGCCACGATAAAGGTTTAATTCCATTCCAAGAGAAGGAACCCAGGTGCCCAGACAGGAGGACCCGGCTCAAACCAGGGGCTTCCCAGCAAGCACGACTGGGAGATTCCAGGAGAGGGGGCAACACTACCCTTCCAGCTGGCCTCAGGCCGCCCCTCCCCCAGACCACTGCCCTCCCCAGGGTCCCCCTACTGCCACACTGGTCCAGCCACCTGGCCAGTTATTTCTGGCCAAGGGGAAGGAGAAGTGAAACCAGATTGGGGGGGCGTGTGTGGCAAGTCCCCAGACCAGTCTTCTGGGGCTGGCCACACCCAGTGGGCCATCCTCCTTCCCTGCCCAGCCCTGCCCCCACCCTTCGCACCACCACTAGTCCCAGCCCTAGGACAGGGCAGGCCCTGGCCACGCCTAGGCTACACCCGATGGGGAGCCAGAAAGGGGAAGTAGTGCTCGCTGCCCCGCCTGTCCAGCTCAGCCCCTTCTCCCACAGGAAGCCGGGCCCTTGAACTTGAGAGGGGGTTGCATCCCAGCTCTACTCACCTGAGTCCGGGCAAGGGCTGGGGCCTCTCGAGGGCTGACAGCCCTGCTTCTTGTGGTCCATGAAAGCCGTGATGGCCTTCAGCGGGAAGGTCTGCAGGCAGAGGCCGCAGGTCAACGTATCTGGGTGTTTGTCAGTCCAGGGCTGGCGGTCTGCAGGGAGGAAGCGGGTGGTGAGCATGGGGTGGGGCCAGAACCGGCTGGGGGTTCCGAGGGAGAGGGGAAACCCGGAGGTGAGAAGGGAGCCAGGACCCAGCTACGGAAACACGGCAGGGGCAGGGGCAGGGGCCGCGGAGCGGTGCCGGAGGCCGGCGTCCCACCCGAGAGTGAAAGGGGAGGGTCGCGGGGCCCGGCACAGGGGGCTCTTACCGTGAGGATTAGGGACCAGAGAAGTCCACGGCGCCGGCTGGTTCTGCAAGCCGAGGGCGAGGAGGGTACCGACGGCGGGCATCAGGCTAGGGCAGGAGCGGGGTGCGCCCTCGAGGCGGCCCGGCGCGGGCACTTCCTTTGGGGAACCCCGCTGCAGCCTCGCGGCCTGTAGGGGCCACGAATGCGGCTCGGGCTTCACGTCGATGACCAGGTCCCCCATCTCCGTCTCGTCGTCGTCGGTGTGGGCGGCGGGCTCGGGGTCGACTCGGCGGGGCATGCAGCCGGCCTTGCGGCGGGACATGGGTCGCGGTGCGGACGATCCGGCGGGCTGGCGGGCCGGCGGGCGGAAGGCGCGCGAGGCGTGTGCGCTCGGGCCGAGACGCTCAGGTGAGTGACTGCGGCGACTGGCACGTGCTGGCCCGGCCGCGGCTGGCCCGGCCGCGGCTCCGCCCACCGGGGGCGGGGCCTGGGGGGAGACGGAGGGGCGGTCCGCAGGGGCCCGGCTGGAGGCCAAGCTCAGGCTGAGCCGTGCCCACGGGGACTGGCTTCAGGACTACACCTAAGGGCACCGAGCTCACGCGGCCAGCATAGAAACGGCGACTGCAGATCCCGTTTTAGGGCTGGTGAAACTGAGGCTCAGCACCCCCGCAAACACCCAGGAGGGAGAAAACGGTAGGGGCTACGTTTCTCACTGTGCCCCTAACAGTATCTTGGACTCTTTCAGTAAATACATAATAAAAATTCACTGGGCAAACCTTTATCGAGCGCCTGTGGTGCACCAGGTACTGTTCTAAGCACTGGGGACACGGCAGCGAACCCAACAGACAATAATCCCTGGCCCTCCCCTCCCCCCGAGTTTACTGGTTCAGGGAGATTACGCTCAACAAGATGACTATTTAAAATAGAGTTCCTTCTTGGGTGACCAGTGTCACCTGGAGCCAAGCAAAGCTAGGAAGGGTTATAAAGGGGCAGGGTGACGTGTGTGTGTGTGTGTGTGGGGGGGGGGTTGGCCTCAATTTTCTCCCCACACCAGGGAAAGGTATGGTGGAGTTGAGACCTGAGGGATGTGAGGGAGTCAGCCAGTCTCTGTTCAAGAATAACGAGGAGAAGGGACTCTTTTCCCCTCCCCACTTGGGAGTCTGTGCTGTGAGATTCTTTCCCCTTCCCCACGTGGGAGTCTGTACTTGTTCTTCAATAAATTTCCACTTTCACTATACAAAATAATAATAATGACAATAGTAATAATAAATAACAAGGAGGGAGGAGACGGACAGGAGGGGGGTTGAGCTCTGAGAAAATGGAGTCAGCTGCGAGAGGGTCTTTTGACCTCTTGAAAGTCTTGGTTTTTGGAGAGGTGAGTCTTGGGGGGGGTTTGAGCAGAAGAGGATTACGATCGTGTACACATCTACTCTGCTCCTACACCTGGAATAGCCACGAAAGCCAAATGGCCACTGTCTTACCTCTCTCCACTCGGCCTCCTTGAACTTCCCTCCTCAAAGCAGCTCTTTCAGATCTCTGTTTGAAGTGGCATCAACACCCTGCCCCACCCTCCAACCCTTACAAGTTTTCTTTTCTTCCTGACACCAACCACATCGCAATACAGAACGGTTTCTTGACTGTCCTCTCCCTTCCCCCACCCTATACAAGGCTCCTTAAGGTCAGGGCCGCAGTCTGCCCTGCCCCAGACTCCCCAGCCCAGCACTCCAGCACTGAGTGGATTTCATGTACTAACCCGGATGCGCCCCCCGGCCCTGCGGCTGCTCCCGGAACTGAGGGACAGAGATCCTCCACTGTAGTTGATCAAGTCTCCCTCACGAGATGGCTAAATTTCCCGCCTAAATCAAAGGGCACAGTTA